AGGACTCAGGTGCAGGTTCCTCCACATAGCCTCCCACACCCTCCTTCCCAGCACCTGTGGGCAGCACCCAGCTTGCCTTTCCAGGACCCTAGGCCTCCTCCTTTAAAAAGACATTTTTAAAAGCAATTCCAAGGAGGGCAATAGAGGGCAGGACCAATAGAGGACAGCACAGGGCCTCCCCTGCCTACAGGACACAATGCCCTTTAAAGCTACAGGGGTAGCTCTGGTCAGGGCTATGCATCGGGGGTTAGCTTCCCTTCGGTCTGGGGACTCCAGAAGCCAGAGAAACCTAGGCCTGGAAGGCGCCAGCAGCCCCGCCTGGGCTCTGCCTCCAGCCACCATCTCCACCTCCTCACAACACCCACATGCCCTTCTGAATGCCACACCCTGGGGGTGGGGTTCGGTAGAAGGAGAAACTGAGGGCCAGAGCAGATACACCAGGAGCACATTTCTGTGCCAATCAAGCAAGAGTATGAGGTTGCAAGGAGACCACAGACCTTAACAGCTGTGTTTCCCAAGAACTTGACATTTTTCCTAGAAATGCAAATCTAAAAAGTTAAACAGAACTTAACTAATCTTAAAGGGTACTACAAGGCCTGTATTATCAAAGTCCCAAACTCTGCCAAAGATGCAAGAAAGCAAGATTTTCAAATATTATATAAAAAAGACTGGATGGCAGAAATATGCACAATAGCAGCCAGTGGCATAATTCATACAGCAAGCACAGCACTCTATCTTTGTACATATCAACTGAGAAGAGTTAAATTGAACACAGTACATCAGAAATTATAATGAGGAACCTCTGTTTTATATTCTAGAAACAACTGGATTAATACCGCCCCCCCTTTTTTTTTGACAGGCAGAGTGGACAGTGAGAGAGAGAGACACAGAGAGAAAGGTCTTCCTTTTGCCATTGGTTCACCCTCCAATGGCCACCGCGGCTGGCGCACCGCGCTGATCCCAAGGCAGGAGCCAGGTGCTTATCCTGGTCTCCCATGGGGTGCAGGGCCCAAGCACCTGGGCCATCCTCCACTGCACTCCCTGGCCACAGCAGAGAGCTGGCCTGGAAGAGGGGCAACCGGGACAGAATCCGGCGCCCCGACCGGGACTAGAACCCGGTGTGCCGGCGCCGCAAGGCAGAGGATTAGCCTAGTGAGCCGCGGCGCCGGCCAATATCCCATTTCTTACAGATTTCAGTTATGCTACAATGGCCAACCTAGAAAGAAGAAGGTTTAGAGTCAAGTGCAATTTCAATAAATCTAATGTTCAAGGACTGCTTGATGATTAACCCAAAACAGTAAACAAACTTGGCATTATCAATGCTGTGAAGAGTTACATGGGTTGCCAGTTAGGTAAGGTCTCCGCAAGCTTATTCCTGAGGGCTGCCCTTAGCAACACTTGGCTTCATCAAGTGTTTTATTGGAGAGAGCCCAAAAATGTTCCCTTGACTGTGGTGATAAACTGGTATTTGCTGGTTGGACAAGAATCTGTAATCCCACCTCCCTGGTTGCCTGTTATCCCCTACCTTCACAGACCAATCAAAAGTATAAACTTCCATGACCCCTTGTGCCCTGCCATTGGACTCAGTTTTAATCCTTTAAACTAGCCAAAAAAAGATTAAGACACACTGTGGGGGACCACTTTGTGTGCTTGGGCAACTCCTCCCTTGGAACCCCCTCCTGACTACAGCTTCAGGAGGCTCCTTGCTTTCAATAAAACTTCTGCTTTGCTCATTCTCATTGTCACCATGGACAAGAACTTAAAGATCTGTTTGTTTGCAAGAGAGAGAGAGAGAGAGAGAGAGAGAGAGAGAGAGAGATCTTCCAACTCCCAGTTGGCCTTCTGCTGTCTTACAGGAGCATCAGCATGGACTTGGATTGGAAATGGATCAGCCAGGACTCAAACTAGCCCTCAGCCAGGACTCAAACTAGCCCTCCAACATGGGATGCCATGGTCACAAACAGCTTAACCAACCACACAACACCAGCCCCTAGCAATGTTGATTTTTGAAAGATAACTTGTGGCCCGCACCGCGGCTCAACAGACTAATCCTCCGCCTGCGGCACCGGCACCCCAAGTTCTAGTCCTGGTCAGGGCACTGGATTCTGTCCCAGTTGTTCCTCTTCCAGTCCAGCTCTCTGCTGTGGCCCAGGAGTGCAGTGGAGGATGGCCCAGGTCAGGAGGAAGCACCTGGCTCCTGGCTTCGGATCAGCGCAGCACGCCGGCCGGCGGCCACTTAGGGGGTGAACCAACGGAAAAAGGAAGACCTTTTTCTCTCTCTCTCACTGTCTAACTCTGCCTGCCAAAATAATAATAATAATAATAATAATAATAATAATAATAATAAAAAAAAGATACCTTGTATCAAAGCCAGACTGTTTGTCAATAGTATTAAAGAGAACGAAAAGGCCTAGGCACTGGACTCAACTGGAGAAAACATCTTTCCTTTAAACAAATCTTGGTATTGTAGTTTTAAATTCATTTGTTATATTAATTTTTTCACTTTGTTGTATTGATAAATTACATTCAGCTTTATTTTAAAAACAGTTAAGAGTCTAACACAATGAACATGGAGGAAGAAGGACTGATGGCATACTGATCTGGAATCCTGAGTCTTCTAAGGATCTACATCTTAATAAAAAAAATAAATAAATAAATCAAGACTATTTCTTTGGATGGACATCTGGCATAGTAGCTATGATGCCAAGTGGGACACCCATAATCCCACGCTGGACTTCCAGGGTTCAGGTTACAACTCTGCTCCCAGTTCTAGTTTCCTGATAATGTGCAGCCTAGAACACCTGGTGATGGCTCAAGTAGTTGGGTCCCTGCTGCAGTGTGGAAGACTCAGGTTGTATTCAGCCTCCTAGTTTCAGCAAGGCCCAGCCCCAGTTGTTGCAAACATCTAGGGAATGAACCTATGGATGGAAGTCTCTACCTCCAGCTCTTGGCCTTACAAATACAATGAAAATAAATAAATAAAATTTTAAGCAAAAATTTAGAGGGTATTTCAATTAATTTAGGAGGGAAAGCTCTTCTTATTCAACGAGGCACAGTACAATGAAACAGGGAGACAGCACAATCTATTGGAGTAAGAAACAGCCCTAAATTTAGTCTCTGTCCTGGGTCTTCATCTATCAGCTCTGTCTACAAAGGCAATAGTAAATGTTGTTTGTAACTCTTTTCTAGGAAAAAAAAAAAAAAACATTTAGTTTTACTGAGTTAGCTTAAAATGAAAGCTAAACTTGAGCCATTCTTGCCTTCTATTTCCTCTTTAAGAATTTTAAATACTTCATGCTTCTTTGAGTAAATATTCCAAACTCCAGTGTCGCTTACCTGGAACCACACAAAATCTGCCTCTCATTGAGAGGGTTGTCAACCAATCCTACAGGGTCTACAGATAATGACAGAGCCTTAGAAAACTTAGAATTATCATCATGTAACCTTTCAGGGTCATAAAGATATAGATACAAAAGTAGATGGAAAAACAGAGAATTGTTAACTAACGAAATAACCAGAAAAAATTAAATGTAACCAAAAATAGATCTTTAAAATGCCCCACCCAAGTAGAATATCTGGAATTTTGAGCAATAAAAAAGTAAAAGCCGCTGGCGCCGCGGCTCACTAGGCTAATCCTCTGCCTTGCAGCGCCGGCACACCGGGTTCTAGTCCCGGTCGGGGCGCCGGATTCTGTCCCGGTTGCCCCTCTTCCAGGCCAGCTCTCTGCTGTGGCCAGGGAGTGCAGTGGAGGATGGCCCAGGTGCTTGGGCCCTGCACCCCATGGGAGACCAGGATAAGTACCTGGCTCCTGCCATCAGATCAGCGCGGTGCGGCAGTTGCAGCGCACCGGCCGCGGCGGCCATTGGAGGGTGAACCAACGGCAAAGGAAGACTTTTCTCTGTCTCTCTCTCTCTCACTGCCCACTCTGTCAAAAAATAAATAAATAAATAAATAAATAAATAAAAGTAAAAGCCATTTATATCCTTTCCGAATTATAAAAACCAAGAGAAACTTCAGACACCATTAAAAAAAATTTAAAAATACATAAATCAATAATCACTCATTTAAAACACAATGGATAAAGAACCCAAAAGTCCAAAAGTATATTCACCATGATTCCAAATATTTAAAACAAGTGCACATATAAACCCATACTGACATAGATATCAGTGCACAAAAAAATATGACACCTAACAACCAAAACACAATGTTACTAACAATTTAGTAAACTTGAACAATTTACTAATTTAACAATTAGGCAAGGATTCCAAATAATTTTAAAATACATATCTATATTTCAGTTTTCTCATAAGAAGATACCACCTATTTCAGAGGGTTTCTAGGAAGAATGATAAATAATTCAAAAACAATATCTAAGCCAGGAAGCATCATATATATTATTATTATAATTATATTAGCTATTAGTTAACAAACAAGTTGATAGCATATTTTATAACAGCCCAAACTGTAAACAACTCAAATGCTCAAATGGTACCAACAGGTGGATTCAGTGAACAAACTGTAGTTCACTACTCAGTAATAAAAAGGAATTACTACCAATATGCGCAACTATACAGATGACTCTTAAAGTAAAATAATTGCAGGGTTTTTAAGAAGCCAGACTCGGAAAAAAAAAATATGTAATATACTTTATGACAGCATTGACATAAAATTCTGGAAAGTGACACTAATCTACAGTGACAGAAAACAGCTGCCTGGGAAGACCGGTCAGGATATAAACAGCCATGAATGATGGGTCCCCAGGGGACAGCAGGAAATTTCAGAAGGTAGTGATTACGTTCATGGTATTAAAGATGATCATAGTTTCATGGGTGTACACATGTGTCAAATTAGAGCCTCTAAATATGTGAAGTTAAATATATATCAATCTTACATCCATAAAGCTGTTTTGTAAAAAACTGATGAGTATAGATTTGAATAATCTGCTCTCTTTATAAAACACACAAAAGATAGTTTTCTTAAAAAAATAGACAACTTACTTTGCATTTCCAGCCATTGGTTGGTACTGATTTCATAACTGGTTGAAGACAAAAAGTATGATACCCTTTGTCACACGTATCACACACTAGCATCTTGCTATCTTCTCCCGATTGTCTAAAAAATAAGATAGCATTAATGATGCCTCATCCTTAAACTTATGTTTTGTAACATAAGTAATCGCAAAAGAATTAGTCCTGGAAAATGCACACTCCATAAATACCTCAGAATCTCTTTTACTTCTGAACAGATTATTATACAGGCAACCCCCTAAACAATGAGTCCCTAAAGGATTATCCTAAAGGATTATAGGCTCACCTATAGCAAACTTCTTTAGTAAATTTTAGGATTTCTGCAAAGGAGGAAGGGTTAAGACAAGATCAATGATCTCTGATTTTTTAAGAAATATTTCCTTCTTTCTTTATTTGAAAGGCAGGGATTTGTAGAGAAGCAGAGGCAGACAGAGGGAGAGGGAGGTTTTCCATCCACTGCTGGTTCACACCCCAGACGGCCGCAAAGGCTGGAACCGCACCAATCTGAAGCCAGGAGCCAGGAGCTTCTTCCGAGGCTCCCACATGGATGTAGGGGCCCAAGGACCCGGGCTATCTTCTGCTTTCCCAGGCCACAGCAGAGAGCTGGATGGAAAGGGGAGCAGGCAGGACTCGAACCAGCACCCATATGGGATTTCAGCGCTGCAGGCAGTGGTTTTACCCGCTACGTCACAGCACCAGCCCCTAATCTTTACTTTTTAAAGATTTGATACCCATTCTTTTTGGAGGAAGAAGTTTTAACTGCTAGGTGATACTGTGCAGAAAGGAACAATCTTGGCACAGTGAAGTGGAAATTTTTACAAAAAGATCAACTTTGACAACAGATCTGTTTCCATTCAAACTACTGTTCCTGAGCTATGTGACTCTTAAAAAGGTGGACTTAAGCTCTCTAATTTTCAGGTATAAAATGGAAATAATAATCAAAGATTACTTGAATGCTAGCTCAAAAGCTGAAAATGTACATTAAGCAATGTTAAATAACATGAATTAAAAATAACAATTTTGGGGCCAGTGCTGTGGCATAGTGGACTACGGTAGCACCAGCAACCCAAATGAGTGCCAGCTCTACTCCCAGCTGCTCCTCTTCCAAACCAGCTCTCTGCTATGGCTTGAGAAAGCAGTGGAAGATGGCCCAAGTGCTTGGCCCCCTGCAGCCACCAGCGAGACATGGAAGAAACTCCTGGCTCTCGGCTTTGGATTGGCCCCACTCTAGCCGTTGCGGCCATTTTGGGAGTGAACCAGAGGATGGAAGACCATTCTCTCTGTCTCTCTTTGTGTTCGTAACTCTACCTCTCAAATAAATAAATAAAATCTTTTCAAAAAAGAATAAAAATTTTGTCATAATTACAGTTTGTTCCAAAGCTTGGGCCCCTTCCCTACAGCATGATCTCTGTCTTGGATCTTGAATATTGATTACTCTCAGATACTAAGAGTTTAATTCAAGAGGAGACAGAAAGAAAAAAAATGGGGAATGCAGGCATAGTTCAGAGAGTAACCTCTGAATAAAGTCTGGAAAAAAAATAAAACAGGAAGATGGGCAAGTTGTCTTCCAGTTATTAATCAACTCAACAAGTTCCACACACAAAGTTGCATATTTTCTCTTCAGCTACATGAAAAGATCTTAGAGGACAAGCATTCTTTCATCAAGTTTTATTCCTTTCCAATAAACAGAGTGCAGAGATAATGTATCAAACAAATATTTACTGATATTTTATCTAAGTTATGCCAAAATATGAAGATAAACTGTCCTAGTTATTCCATGTAACTCCAAGACACAGACTGATCAAGGCAGTGCTGAGCATAATTCCCCTGTTACAAAAATTCTCAGCTTGTAAAGAACTTGTAGACTGCTGAAGAATAGGGCTAACACTCTCTAATTGTCAGGCTAATAAAATCACTGAGGGAGGGAGATCCCAGAAAAGATAATGATCTCTGTCTTGAAATGACCAAGGAATAGAATACAACAACTAGGAAAAGATAATTCCATTACAAGTGTTTAAACTCTGTTTTAGATAACTTGTCTTTCAGATAAATATGCAGAATTAATTAAAATAGTAATCATAGCAGATCATGTCCTTCCAAGCATGGAAACTCAAACACATCATTGATTTTTGGGCTCAATTTATACACATAGCTTCCATAGTTAGAGGTTTATTTTCCTGTTAAATCTCCTCCACAGTACACTTTTTAAAAAGCTGCTTTATTTTTCTAATGCTTATTTAAAATTGCTAATATAATTCATTTAAAAATAGTTGGCAAATTGAAATGGAGTTTTTATGATTTCAGATGAACGTATTAAAATTGGTTTTATTTAGATTTCTCCCAAAATAATATTAGTATTAATAAATATTTAATGGTTTAAGACATGATGAAATCAGTCTGAATGAACACAGCTGCAAAATGAACAATCTTTATCATATTATACAAACCTTTCAGCACTTAATAGGGTCTGTCTTAAACTCAATACATACACCATTGACTTAAAATTAAAACTTACTTGCAGTTCTGGCACACTTTGCACTCAGGACATTGCCAACCTGCACGTTTTAATGGAGTAACCGCTATATCCAGGCACATTCCATGATAGTGCTGGCCACAAGTAGTACAAAAGAACTGATCTAAGAGGTCTCCAGGGCTGTCGCATACTGCACAGTTTGCATCTTCCTTTGCTATAATTAACAGTGAAACAATGAAATTGTTGTGTAAGAATTTGATCTTTTTCTGACTTTACAGCTTACAAATCACCTGAAGGGAATTTGCACGGTAAATGTTTCAGACATTTGAATTTATCCACATTGAACTGACATCCAATGAGAATGAGGTCTCAATAGAAACATAGTGTGCCTACACCGCACTATTGATTAAATTAACAAAGAGATTTGGTTGTTTTTTCTGTTATCATTTGTAGCTATATCTACTTAAGATGACAAGTAGTTTTTAATTTTATATTTTTAATATCAATGATAATGCTGGGCATCAAGCTAATGCTCAATAAATGCTTGCTGGAAAAAAAACAAGGACAAGATCAATTGAGAGGTGCTTTTTCAGTGTAAAAGTAAACATTGTAGTTGGTTGTTAAATATAATTTGAAATATTTAATGAGCTACATCAAGAGATAAAACCAAGAAATGCTAACATTGATTAGTTAAGATACTTCTTAGGCATAAACAGAAATTTTGCAAATCAAATAAAGGATTTTTTAATACAGGAAAAAGTCTACATGAGAAAATGCTAAACATGAAGGCTGCATATTTACATACAAATATAATACTTCATACACTAATTCTATACTTATGTATATTAAATTTAGTTGTAAAAGCATTAAAATCCATATACAATTGGGGACATCTATCCCTAAATATAGATTAAAAGGTACTTCTATTAGTTCTTTTAGCAGCTTAAAATAATACAAGAGGGGCCAGTGCTGTGGCACAGTAGGCTAAGCCTCTGCTTGTAGTGCCTGCATCCCATATGGGTGCCTTTACGAATTCCCATAATTTCCTCTGTGACTACATTAATTTTGATGTCACAAAATGCTAGCAGGAATCTCAAATCCGTATTACCAGCCCAACCTCAAACCCTTATTTTAAAGTCTTATGGCAATTCAAAAGCCAAATGTTTTAAAAACACTCAAACACAACAGATATACTATAAAATTTATTTTAAAAACTAAACCTCCGGCCGGCGCCACAGCTCACTAGGCTAATCCTCCGCCTAGCGGCGCCGGCACACCGGGTTCTAGTCCCGGTTGGGGTGCCGGATTCTGTCCCGGTTGCCCCTCTTCCAGGCCAGCCCTCTGCTGTGGCCAGGGAGTGCAGTGGAGGATGGCCCAGGTGCTTGGGCCCTGCACCCCATGGGAGACCAGGAAAAGCACCTGGCTCCTGGCTCCTGCCATCGGATCAGCGCAGTGCGCCGGCCGCGGCGGCCATTGGAGGGTGAACCAACGGCAAAGGAAGACCTTTCTCTCTGTCTCTCTCTCTCACTGTCCACTCTGCCTGTCAAAAAAAAAAAAAAAAAAAAAAAAAAAAAAAAAAAACTAAACCTCCTTCTTATTTTCTCAACAGAATGGGTAATGGCTGTTACTTAAGTAGCACTGATGACATTAACTCCTCTCTGATCCAGCATATATAACCAGACAATTCTTTATTTCAATACAACATTCTTTGTTCTATTTTTATAGAGTAGTCTACACATTTTGTCTTAATAATCATAGTATTTTCTAAATAAAATCATCCCACTTATGATTCTAATCTCTTCTTAAATTATCTTCTACATAACCAAAGCAAACTCAAAAATGTAAATCTGATTGCTATTCTCTGCTTACATTAAAATTCCATTCTCTTTTGCCTAAAATTTTACATGATGCTAATTTGCTAGAATGAGAAAAAAAAAAAAAAGAACCTAGCCACTATTTCTTGTCCATAAAAAGTCATCTGCTGTGTGTCACACAACATGCTATTCAATGTTTGTGTGCTTTTATACAATTCTATTCTCACTGGTAGAACTTTGTGTCTTTTTTGTGCTCCTAGCCAATTCAAAAAACCCTTCAAAACACTGTCCAAACATATTCTTTAAGTACATATTACCACACTAAAAATCTGAATTGTTAAATATTCCTTTTCCTAGTATGCATTGGATAAATTTCTCTTATATATTCAACTAATCACAATATATGACACTATGAATGCCTGAAGGACGAAGATCTTACCACTTGCTATCTACAACTGTCCAGAGTGAATCAAGTCTTACTAAATAATTTTAAATCCAGATCCTCTTTATAAAATTACTTCAAAAGGGCTCTTTCATTGATACACAATTAAAATAAATAATTATCTAAAATTGGAAGTATCATAAATTAGTTTATTTTTTACAGAAAGGACATAATAAGGTAAGCTGTTTTTCTTAATACTAAGAATGCCAGTATTCACCCCCTTCAAGCTATGTACATTTAAAATTTAATCCTGGCATTGTGAGGCAGAAGAATGACCCACTGGTTTGGGACAAGTCACTGCTTGGGACACTGGCAATCCATATCAAAGAGCCTGGTTTCAATACTGGCTATGCTGTGTTTCCGATAAAACTTCCTGATAATGCCTGGGAGGCAGCAAATGATGGCCCCAAGTACTTGGGATCTTGCCACCCATACGGGAGAACCAGGTGCAGATGGAGTTCCCGGCTCCTGGATCTGACTTCCCAGACTGGCTGTTACAGGCATTTGGAGGAGTGAAACAGTGGATGGACAATCTCTTACTCCCTGAATCCCATCACTCTGCTTTTCATATAAATAAACAGATCTTTAAAAATCAACAATAAAAAATAATCCTGAATTTATGCCTACCCTGGAAACATTTAGACATTGGGGAAAATATTCAACTGGTTGTCATATACTTAGTTCATTTTCTCTTAATAATTGTTCTTTTTTTTTTACAGGCAGAGTTAAACAGTGAAAGAGAGAGAGAGACAGACAGAAAGGTCTTCCTTTTTCCGTTGGTTCACTCCCCAAATGGCCGCTACGGCCAGCGAGTTGCGCCGATCTGAAGCCAAGAGCCAGGTGCTTCCTCCTGGTCTCCCATGTGGGTGCAGGGCCCAAGGACCTGAGCCATCCTCCACTGCACTCCCGGGCCACAGCAGAGAGCTGGATTGGAAGAGGAGCAACCGGGACAGAATCCGGTGTCCTGACCGGGAATAGAACCTGGGGAGCCGGCGCCGCAGGCGGAGGATTAGCCTAGTGAGCCACAGTGCCGGCCTATAATTGTTCTTAAACAATGTCTAAAATCCTTCTGTGAAGCTTCCTAGGATTTGCTACTCTTCAACTGGCCAAGGTAGCTACTACCTACAGGTGGCTATTAAGCAACTAAAATGTGTTAGTATAAACTAAAACGCACAGTAAATATAAAGTACACTCTGGATTCCAAAGACATAGTGTGAGCAAAAAGGCAAGCATCTCAAAATTTTTATACTGATTACATTTTGAAATATTAATATTTTGCATGTCAGATTAAATAACTAAAATTAATTTGAATTGTTTTCACTCCTTTTAACTTTACTAGAAAAATTAAAATTTTTTATCTTGCCTACCTTATACACTTATTGCACATCAGTGTTCTATATAATAATATCAACTCGGAACAAGACAACTCTGTATAATCATTGCACAGGTCATCTTTTTTCTGTAAGTTCTAGCAATTCCTTAATGGCAATCTTATACTGTTTGGTCACTATGGATCCATAGTAATAAATAAATTAGTCAAACAAAAATATTCATATGATATATCCCATCCATAAACAATTACATGATATGTTAAACACTTTTCTGTTTCTGGTTCAAACAATCTCACCAATCACAGAGAAAGTGTAGAAATACTAAAACAGTCTTTTGGAAATCATGTACAGGAAGATGATACTGCTAGGTAGCTTTAATGTCCTGTTAAAAATGAGTAAGCAGGGACATACATCTGGTGTGCTGGCTAAGATGCCGTTTGGTATGCCTGCTCCCATTATCTAGTGCCTAGGTTCAAGTCCCAGCTCCACTCCCAATTCCAGCTTCCTGCTAATGTGCACTCTGGGAGGGAGCAGGTGATGACTCCAAGTTGGGTCCCTGCCACCCACGTGAGACCCTAGGGACTGAGTTTCCAGCTCCTGTCTTTTTTTTTTTTTTTTTTTAAAGATTTATTTACTTATTTGAAAGGCAGAGTTACAAAGAGGCAGAGGCAGAGCCAGAGGCAGTGAGAGAGAGAGAGAGAGAAGTCTTCCATTCGCTATTTCACTCCCCAAATGACCACAACGGTTGGAGATAACCTGATCCGAAGCCAAGGAGCCTTTCTGCTTCTTCCAGGTCCCCCACTTGGGTGCAGGGACTCAAGGACATTAGCCATCGTCCCTGGCTTTCCCAGGCACATTGACAGGGAGTTAGATTGGAAGTGGAGCAGGAAACCAGTGACCACATGGGATGCCAGTATTGCAGGCAGCAGTTTAACTGGCTATGCCACAGCGCCGGCCCCTTAGCTCCTGTCTTTGATGTGGCTCAACCAAACCTGCTGCAAGCATTTAGGGAGTCAAACCATAAATGGGAGCTTTCTGTCTTACTCACGCCCTGTGTTTCAAATAAATAGATGAATAATTTTTTATAAAATACAAAGCTCTATATATTTACTTAATATGTCTGCAAGTCACAGGGACATTGAAATTAAAGTAATAAACTAAGTGAATTTTGTATTTAAACAGCTGGAAAAGCAGAAGAGCTTGAGTAAAAATCCAGGTCTATCTAAATCCAAAGATCATGCTTTTATTATAGTCAATATTATTAACTCCAAAGTAAACTTCACTACTGATCGAAGAAAGTTAAGAAAATCTAAGAACATACAAACATAAAAAAACAAAGTGCTACAGGAGGTAATGAAGAACCTGAATAAAGTAGACAGAGCAAGGTTCTTGTGGAAGGAGAAAGAGGTGAATAATCTCTGGAGGTCATTCCCCAAGTGACAGCTGTGAAAAGAGAAGGAATGGGTAAAGCAAAAGAAAAACACTGAGCTCAAATTGGAAGGTGGAACAGCTGCTCAGCAATGTCCAGACAGCACATAAGAATAAATGCAATGCCAGATGAAGAGCAGCGAAAGTCAAACTGTGGTCATTCGGCACCAATTTAAGAACAAACGAATCAGCACAGCTTTCTGACGTCCATCAACATCGCAACACCTTCCCCTCGCCTCCACCTAGTGTTCACTACTGGAAGGACACTGCTAGGTGGTTGCTGACCAAACGGAATCTCTAGAAAGAAAATCACGGAATTTATACAAAAGGCTGGCCCATATAGCTGGCAGGTAGAAAAGACAAAGGTCAGGAGGCCACAGAATTCAGGGTAGCAGAAAAGCAACAGCATGTAGTGTCAAGAGACACGAAAGACAACCAAGAAAACAGGCTGGAGTTAAAAATTTAAATCAAGTAAAAGGAGTTCAAGCTAACTAATGAAAGTAAATATACTGAGGAATTGGTAAATTCATATATATAGAATTCTTATGTTTAATCCCTACAAAGATATCTCATTTTAAACATAACACAATCCATACTGCTTCTGTTAATTACAAGGCCTACCTGATCTAGCCTTTGTTCACTTTGATGTTGTCTCTATCCACCCAGTGGACTGCCATGGTCCAGGTACAATGACTAGCTGTCAGTTCATGAATCAAATGAAGCTCATTTCTCAAGGCCTGTGTAGTAGCTGTTCCTCTGCCTAGAATATTTTTCCTCTGATCTTGCAAGGCAAGTTCCTTGCTATTAAGCTTTCCAACATAGGAAGTATATATGGTTATATCTCACAGGATTACTGAGTTTAAAATTTCAGGCAAGGTTAGCATACTTCTGCATAGCCATGAAAATGTTAGACTCATGACTAGTCCTTTAGCAACGACAGAGAACCCTAAAATTATTTTCTGATAGAAATCTTGGCATTGTTAACAGATAACCCTCCTTTTTTAAACATTTCTTTACACTAAAACCTATGGTTTTGTTGGATGTTTGAGTTTTCACAGAAACATGTCAATCTTACTTGCCTAACCAATTATCAGAGCACATTACTCTGTAACATGGTGTAAACTCAATATATAATATTATTCTCACAATTTGAGCGTTTAATAAGACCTAAAGGGGCTGGCAGTGGCATATATAAGCTTCCAACTGCGGTGCCAGCATTCCATATTGATGCCAGTTTGAGTCCCAGCTGCTCTTCTTCCCATCCAGCTCTCTGGCTAATGGCCTGGGAAAGCAATGCAAGATGGCCCAAGTGCTTGGGCACTTGCACCCACATGGGAGACTCAAAGAAGCTCATGGCTCCTGGCTTCAGATTGGCCTAGCTCCAGCCCTTGTGGCCATCTGGGGAGTAAACCAGTGGATGGAAGACCTTTCTGTCTCTCTCCCTCTCTCTCTGTCTGTAACTCTACATCTCAAATACATAAATAAAATATTTTAATAGAAAAGAGCTAAAATAATATTTTTGTAAAACAATTGAAATACAAATGGAAGAATGCTATATGATTGCAATTAGTCTTATTTAACTCTCATGACATTTATTGAAAATTGTTCCATTTTAAAAACATAAAATGTTAAGTACCTTCTGTCATGACACACAATTGCAATAGCAAGAAATATTTATGAAAGACTTAATTACGGCAGCAATGCATTCAATATGCAAGATCCTCTTACATCCTCAGAATATGGTCAGAAAGCTCCGTAGTTAAATTGCATTATTTAAAATCTCCAAGTAACAGAATTTATTCAATTGGGCTTCTATGGGCTGAGTTTACAGGTTTTGTCTCTATGCTAAAAAGAAACTACTTTAAGCCCACTTTTCACTACAATATGTAGTGTCAACTTATCCTATAGTCTTAATATCAAGTGGATTCTTGCTACTTGAGGGCACTTCAAAAAGTTTATGGAGAAGCAGGCATTTGGCCCAGAAGTTAAAGATGCATGTATTCCACATTAGGCTGCCTGGGTTCTGGCTCCTGAGTCGAGCTTTCTGGTAATGCAGATCCTTGGGGACAGTAGTGATGGAGTAGCTCCCATCTTCAGCCATGGAAAACATACACCCCCAATGGCCAAGGCTGGACACAAAGCTGGGAGCCAGGAACTCAATCCAAGTCTCAGCAGGGGTGGTCATTAGCACTCACTTGAGCCATTCCCTCTGATTCCCGTAACAGAAAGCTGGAATCAGGAGAAGAGCAAGGCACTGAACCCTGACATGCGACATAGGCAGGATAAACAGCATCTTAACAGCTGGGGTAAATGCCTTTCCCAGAGCAAAAAAAATTCTTCCATCTAGGTTTGGTGCTTTCAAAATATGCATTTCACATGAACATTTGAAGATCCTTTATACATACCGTGAATCCGATAAGTGTTCCTATATCCCTCCTTGTACCACAACGCTTGGGGCCAAACATGCATTTACATTTAGTCATAGTTATACCACTATCTTCATTTTTATCCCACATATATATTTCTTTTAGCGATATTACCTTATTTACTCTAGTTTTATTTTATCCTATAGTTCATGTATTTTTATGAGTCTCCAAAATTCCATTCTGGAAGGCATAGCACCAAAAATTTTGGTATCTTTTAGCTTTGGATTGCCAGCATGAAATTTTCACCATATACATGATAAATGATCTTACCACAGTTCATATAGTAAATTATTTTACAAACTGATATATGATAGCTGGCATATACATGAAGGTATATACTACCAGAACACAGTTATCAGTACAAAGTAGCACTTCCATTAAGTGATAAAATTTTAACATTAAAATCATATTCACTTAAAATTTTGTATGCTGTTTACTTAGCTCTAAAGCGTAACTGAAGGACCAGCATTGTCGCAAAGTGGATAAAGCCATTGCCTATGAAGCCATGATCCCATATGAGCACTAGTTTGTGTCCCAGCTGCTCCATTTCTAATCCAGCTCCTTTCTAATGGCCTAGGAAAAGCAGCAGAAGATGGCCCAAGTACTTGGTCCATGCACCCATGTGGAAGACCTAAATGAAGCTCCTGGATCCTAGCTTCAGATCCTAGCCCACGCCATTGCTGCAATCTGGGGAGTGAAGCAATGGATGGAAGAGATCTTTCTCCTTCTAATTCTTTCAAATAAATAAATCTTAAAATAAATAAGTAAAGAAAGCAAGACTGAATATACAAAGTGAAATAAAATGCAGATCCTTAGGGCCAGCGTTGTGGCACAGTAGATTAAGCCTCCATCTGCGGCACCAGTTCAAGTCCCAGCTGCTCCACTTCCGATCCAGCTCCTTGCAAATGTGATTGGGAAAGCAGTGGAAGATGGCCCAAGTGCTTGGGCCCCTACATCAACATGGGAGACCCAGAGGAAGCTCCTGGCTCTTTGGTTTTGGCATGGCCCAGCCCTGTCTATTATGGCCCTTTAGGGAATGAGCCAGCAGATAGAAGATCTCTCTATATATTTCTCCCTCTCTCTGTAACTCTGCCTCTCAGATCAATAAATTAAGCTTTAAAAAAAAAATTCAGATGCTCTTTCTCTTTCTCCCCCCCCCCAACAAAACTGTTTTAGTCAGCAACATGCTATTATACCACCCAGAATAAATCAACTATGATGATTTTATGAACTTACTGAAGTAAATCACTACGTAAATAACCCTGATAGTTAGTGCGCATGAATATTCTTTTTCTCCCAGATTTTATACTGTGCTATCCAAAACATTCTTTAAGTTTTATAGCTCTTATTTATTGGCTTAAATACAATTTCAAATACTAGTTTTGCTTATCTAAAGGTTATATATAGGGGCCAGAGCTGTGGCACAGAAGGTTAATCTTTCATCTGAGGCACCAGCATCCCACATGGGCACCAGTTCCAGTCCCAGCTGCCCCTCTTCCAGACCAGCTCTCTGCTATGGCCTGGGAAAGCAGTAGAAGATGGTCCAAGTCCTTGGGCTCCTGCCCAAGGAAGAAGCACCTAGCTCCTGGCTTTGGATCAGCTCAGCTCTGGCCGTTGTGACCATTTGGGGAGTGAACCAACAGAAGGAAGACCTTTCTCTCTATCTCTCCCTCTCACTGTCTGTAACTCTAACTCTCAAATAAAATAAATAAAATCTTTAAAAATAAATAAAACATATATATTTATATGAATTGAATATGATTGAATAGGTGGACACAAAAGAATTTTAAAGGAAGATAAAATTATGGTAATAAACAAAGGTAAAAGGCAATAATCATGTAGTCTAACTGTATTTGAAATTACTTTTAGTAAAGTCAGAGTTAGCTATATTTATATTTCATAATCCTGCAACAAAAGATGGGCAAAAAGCTTTTACCAACATTGCCACAAAACAAGTAAAAGCCAACAACCATATAACTAAAAGGTATCAATAAAGAAAAGATTGAATAAATCAGAGAGACTTTTGCAGTGAGAGTGGAAATTCAATTATTCACCAAAGGAGAAAAAAGATCCCAGAACATACATGCTCACTGGAAATCCATATATTAAAAGAGAAGATCCCTGTATAACCATAGTTATAATTTTCTATGTAACATACAATGCAAACATTTACACATCTTCACTAAATTATAAAATATAAAGCAGGAAAGGAAGAAAAAAACACAACTGATTATAATCAAGATAGATAAATCATGAAGAAACATTAACAGATATTTCTATCATGATTAACTGGGCTATGCAACTTAAAAAACTTCACAAGCTTTGGGTGTTCCTATTAATGTACATCCTGAAATAACACCTGAATAAATCATCTTCTAATTCTCCAACTTAGTGGTTTTCAACAAATGAGACTACCTTAGAGCATATATCAGAAATATTGTATACTCAGTATTTCTATCTGTGGCGGTTACCTGAGGTCTTTCTAAAGTGAATATAAAACACAAACTGTCTTTGAATTTCTGAGAATGAACATCTTGTAATTAAATTCAATGAAACTACTGATAATAGGTGTTCCCCTGCCCCCAAAGATCTCTGTATGACAGATTTCTCAGATTATCAAGATTATGTAATACTATCATTTACTACAAGTAGAACACACTCAGAGAATTTAAAACATTTACTTTAAACACATATAACAAAAAAAGCAGAAAAATACACTTGCAAATTTATATCTTTCCATCTAAGTCTTTAAAGATGTAGTAAACTTACATCTTTCAGGAGCTTGGTCAATATGTTCTGGACAAAGAAGGAAGAAATGACTGAAATCCTGAAAGGTGCCAGCTCCTGCAGCACATGGATAATGGTATATCTGGGTACACTTCTCTTCACAGCATTTGATAGTGGCTCCAAGATGCTTGCAAAATGCACATCGCTGAAAGAGGGAAAGGTATTGAAATCTCTTTACCAAACCTTGAAAAGCAAGAGTCAAATATAAGGACATTAAGGTACAAGAAAACTTCATACATTACTAGTAAGATAATCTGAACCCACAAAATAGCAAATGAAGGATCAGTTAAAAATAATAAAACCTAAGGTACTCACTCTGACCTTGGTCCTTCCATTAAGTCAGCATTTCATTTTTTTTTTTCATATGTGCTTAGTCAAATACACACAACTACAGATTTTAAGGTGTGGGATTCTAAAGGCAAATTCTAGTTAAGGTTTATTTTACCAGTTTTTATACCCCACCAAAACAAGTAGGTGGCATTATTTGTATCCTGATTAAAAATCAATATGAGGGGGCTGGCACTGTGGCATAGTGGGTAAAGCTGCCACCTGCAGAGCTGGCATCCTATATGGATGCCAGTGTGAAACCTGGCTGCTCCACTTCTGATCCAGCTCTCTGCTATGGCCTGGGAGAGCAGTGGAAGGTGGCCCAAGTCCTTGGGCCCCTGCACCCGCGTGAAGAAACTCCTGGCTCCTGGCTTCGGACTGGCACAGCTCCAGCTGTTGAGGCCAACTGGGGAGTGAACCAGTGGATGGAAGAACCCCACCCCCACCCCATTGCCTCTCCTTCTCTGTGTGTAACTCTTTCAAATAAATCAATAAATATATTTAGAAAAAAAAAAAACAACAACATATTTTCACACAGAAATTAGTTTCAAATTTATTTACAAAAGTTGGGAATCTGAAGAAAAGCCATCTGGGCACTGCTTCACAGCACTTCAGCCCGGCTCCACCTGGGTGTGTGTGTGTGTGTGTGTGTGTGCGCAAAGAAATACGCCCAACATAGAGGAAATCTAAGACAAATGAATGCAAAAGAAGTCAATGTAGATTATTAAAATGTTATATATACTTATTCGCCATTTCTTAGAATGATTAATGAACTTTTCCTCATCCTCCCAAGCCTATTTGGGCACCATTTTCCTTGTAGATGCTCTGCTGTGTGGTCATACACTATAAAGTCTTTTTCTGCATGCAACAACTATGTGTGCATCTTTTTTAAAAGAATTCTTTATTTAAAAGAAGAGTGACAGAGAGGGGGAGGAGGAGAGACAGTAAGGAAAAGCAAGAACATGTCCATCTATGAGGTCACTCTCCAATAGACTGCTAACATTAATTTGAATATCTTCATTTATTAATACAATGATTCTACATTCTGCTAATCAATCAGGGAATACTAGAGTTGTTGAACTATTATTTCCTATATTTAATTTGTATATTTACATAAGATACCACATACTAGGAAACTCATTAACCTTATCATCAGTACACTGTACTGAGAAAAATATAAGAAAATGACACTAATTCTATGTTCCACACATTTTAAGTACAAACTATCTAGTTAACTTATAAATACGAGTTATATTTGTGACATTTATATTTCATATAATGTTCACAAGTCCACAGGCTAATACAAATTTCAGTTCCACTTTTGTATTCAGGGGTGTTACTGCATTAAAGATGGTAAATAAAAAAATAAAGTTTTTCCCTTCATTGATAAAGTATAATAATCATCTTTTTCAAAATGGATTGTATGTTCATACTACAACTTCACAAGGTATCTAAATATGTTTAGCATGTTATCAGAACCTAGAATTAACCATAACAATAATACCTCAGTGATCAGTCTCCTGCTGCAAAGGCTAAGAAAATGTCAAAGGAAGAAAGTACAACCAATCCACTGAAAAATTTTCATAGTAACTCATCAATGTAACAAAAGTAATCCTGCTTAAACTAAGACCTCGAATCTCTTATTTTGAAACCATGAGTCAAACTAGAATCTTTCTACACTAAAAATATCTTTGGCAAATAAAATGAATTTTATATAAGTTTTATATATGGAAAAGTAAATTGATTCATTTCCCAATACCTATGTTACTCTGAAAACACCAATATGATCTCCTAATCACACCTACAATGAAAAACATTACATGACATTAGCTAAACTACTATGGAAACTGCTGGGTATATTCAACATGCTAATTTTCAATATCATATGAAGATATCAAGGAATAATAGAAAGGCAGTAAAACATTAACTGTGTTTAAGTGAGCCTTCAATCAAATAGCTAATCAGTTAAAATCAAATAGCTAATAAAGGACATTTGGCACTGAAGGAAAACATATGCTATATACATAGGCTGCAATGCATTGTCCTAAACCAAATAAAAATTATTTGTCTAACTACAGAAAGTATCAAAGAATGAATTTCCACAGGGAACATGTGTAACATGAGCATGCTCATCTAACAGACATCAGAAATCCAAACTCGTAAACTAAAGAACAACTGCAAAACTAATTGACATTTGGGGAGGGGCAGATAAGTTAAACAGCTTTGTTTCAATAAATATTTCAAACTCCTGGTTAGCATTCATTCTTTTCTACTTCTTTTAATCAATGAGGAAAACAAAAGAGAAGAAGAAGGAGGGAGTATTGTTTTCATCTTCCAACATTAATCCTAACCCTAAACTTAAACAGAAACAACTGAGAGCTCAAGGACCAACTGTAAGAAAGGGGCCGAGGAAATTTCAAAACTTTTATTTAATTATACTGAGGTAGAGAAGACTTTCTCAAAATAAATGTATAAAACTAAAGCCAACAAAATTTCAGAGATTAAAGTTGCATTATGAAACAACAACTTTCAAAACATGCAGAATATAATTAATATATACACTTTATACACACATACACATATACTTTCTCAGGTATATGTATGTGTAAATAACACACAGTCACACATACAAGTCAAAAATAAAAAACTAAGAAGGGAAAAAAAATTTCAGACAAATGCTACCCAAGAAATACAAGTGCAGCAATATAGCTATATAGATTGCAAGGAAAACTTATTCAATAAATAGCAATTAACAGGTGAAAAACTAATAATAAGGTTAATTTCTTCAATAGAAGAAATAGTCATTAAAGTATATATACCTGGGGATGCCGCCTGCATCCCCTACGGGTGCCAGTTCACATCCCAATTGCTCCACTTCCAATCCAACTTTCTGCTATGGCCTGCGAAGGCAGCAGAGGATGGCCCAAGTGGTTGGGCCTCTACACCCCTGTGGGGGAACCAAAAGAAGCTCCAGGATCATGGCTTCAGATCAGCCCAGCTCCAGCCATTACAGCCTTTCAAATAAATAAATAAATCTTTTGGGGGCCAGTGCTGTAGCATAATGGGTAAAGCCGCCGCCTGCAGTGCTGGCATTCTATATGGGAGGCCTGGCTGCTGCACTTCTGATCCAGCTCTCTGATTTGACCTGGGAAAGCAGCAGAAGATGGCCCAAGTCCTTGGGCCCCTGCACCTACGTGGGAGACCTGGATGAAGATCCTGGCTCCTGGCTTTGGATCAGCACATCTCCGGCTGTTGCGGCCAACTGTGGAGTGAACCAGTGGTTGGAAGACCTCTCTCTCTCTGCCTCTTTCTCTGTGTAACTCTGACTGACTTTCAAATAAATAAATAAATAAATAAATCTTTAAAAAAAATCCTTTTAAAAATAAAGTGGTTGTACTTCAAAAAACATCTTTGATATATATAAAGTAAAGCTGAGTAAAAATACAAGCATGGATTAACATGAATTTCAATTCAAGAAATAAAGATTTAGTGGCCGGCGCCGTGGCTCAATAGGTTAATCATCTGCCTTGCGGCGCTGGCACACTGGGTTCTAGTCCCGGTCGGGGCGCCGGATTCTGTCCTGGTTGCCCCTCTTCCAGGCCAGCTCTCTGCTATGGCCCAGGAGTACAGTAGAGGATGGCCCAAGTCCTTGGGCCCTGCACCCTATGGGAGACCAGGAGAAGCACCTGGCTCCTGGCTTCGGATCAGCGCGGTGCCAGCTGTAGCGCGCCAGCCGCGGCAGCCATTGGAGGGTGAACCAACGGCAAAGGAAGACCTTTCTGTCTGTCTCTCTCTCTCTCACTGTCCACTCTGCCTGTCAAAAATAGAAAAAAAAATAAAATAAAAAAAAGAAATAAAGATTTAAAAACTTGAAGTAATAAATCTTTTGATGACTAATTTTTTTGTTGTTGTTGTTCACTTTAAACACACATTTCTGATTAAAACATTTGCTAAAAAATATTTGTACAGCAAAATGGAGACTTCTAGGAGTAGAATTTTTCTTCTTCCAATATTTTTCCTTTCTGATACATATACCTCACTGCTATTACAGCCATCTTTCTAAAGGAAATCCTGATACATTCTAGATCAGATGAAAACTCAATATGGCACTTATGACAGGCAGAATTCTAAAATGTTTCCATACTACCAACCCCTCAAGCTTTCTCAACTAATCCAGTGACTGGGAATATGATGAAATATTATGTCAGATGTTATGCTGGGTCACATGGCAAAGAAATTTTGCAGAAGCAATTAAGATACCCAATCAATTGACTTACAATCAAATGGGATTTGCCTTAATCACACAATCCCTTCAAAACAGAGCATTTTTTTATTACTACTAGTAAAAGGAAAACTCAAAGAAACTCCCAGCAAGTGAAAAATTCAATACAGTGTCGCTGTATTGGGGAAAAAAATGAAGCCAAAAGCAAGAACCAGAGAGCTGAGAGCAACCCAGGTCATGACCAGTGAGAAAGCAGGAACCTAATCCATACAACTGCATAGAGCTAAATCTCTCCACATCTGATGGGCTCAGAAGTGAATCTGGAAAGGGTGGCAGGGTAGATGCACATACTTGAGCTGGAATTTCTGCCACTCCGCTTTCCCAAGATGCACCTGGGACCAGGAAGGAGGAGATTCCATGATAGCCATGTGAAAGTTAAACTTCAAGCAGAGGCTCCAAGGAAATCCCATGCTTAGAGATGCTTATTTCCTCTCTGACTGCCTCTTCTCAAAGGAGGTCAATTCTCTGACCCACTCATGGCAGGTATCACAGTGTGGGTGGCCCACTCACTAGAGAATATATGTTCACTCTCTCTC